TGAAACAATACCTCCTCCCACCCCACTGTCCTGCTGGTAATAGCTTATCTAAAGTGATCATCAGGTGGGCCATTTCCAGCACAAATCCAGGTTTTCTCACCCTCCACCCCCCCACACACACAAATTCACTCTCCTGCTGGTGATAGCCCATCCAAAGTGACAACTCTTTATACAATGTGCATGATAATCAAGTCGGGCTATTGGTGGTGGTGTAACAATAAACGTTGCTCTCTCCTACTCTAGACAATTGCCATATCCTGTCAATTCTTCCTTTACAAGATCTCTAAAACTCATTCCTTCCTCTTCACCCCCACTGCTAAGACACCTGTTCATGCTTTGGTCACCTCTAACTTTTCATCCTGAAACCTCCATGTTTAGGGACTCCTGTTCCTCACTTCATTCCTCTACTGTATTTCCAAACTACTGCTGCTGCTAAAACACTCTCACATTCCACTTGGATCACGTCACTCCCTTCTACAGATCCTTTCAAGGGCTTTCCTCCTCCTTTTTGCATCATTATCAAATTTCTCATCTTCAAGGTTTAGCACAGCTCTGTCCTTGCCTACATCTTTGGTCTCTTGTCCCCATAGTCCCATTCCATTAACTTCTGCTCATTCCAACCCTCCTTCTTGAATGCCCTCTTCTGTATCCTTCTCCCATCTCATCTTCATGCCTTTTTTCCTTCTTGGCCCAGATTATAACTCACTCACTCCCTCTCCTTCTTCACCTAATGTCTTTCCTCTTTTCATCCTCATTGGTCTTTAAAACACAATTCAGTCATTTATGGTGCTCTTCTATGATAACCTGACAAATGCCCCCCCATCCACCTCATATATCTTATATGTTAAAACTGTATTACCTGTCTCTAATTTAAAGCCTGATCCTGCTAAACTTACTATTTACTGCCAGTTGCAGACACACTGAAGTCTATGGGACTAATCACAGTAGAAAGCATTTTGCTCAATAGTGATTAAATGCATGGTTTAGGCCCTTATGCCTTGATCTTGCACTGGGTTCCAGGATCTTCCACACAGAGTTCATTGCAAGATTGGGGCTTAGACTGTAAAGTCCTTGGGGCAGGAACTATATTGTTGGTTATACGGTATTTACACAGCATTGCGCGTACTATGACAGATCAATAAATCAATATCACAGACATGCTACTATCTTTATTTTTAAACTAAAAATAGTACAATGGTTTCACTTAACAAGTTTCGTCCATTTTAAAAGATTCTGCCAGTTTGAGAGATATTGAATGTACTTAAAATGGAGAGTACTGCTGGAACCCAAAATATCTAATCAAACCAGAAACACTGTGTGATCCCTTTGCGTCATCCTCAGAATCTCTCTGCCTTCCTTCCACTGTCTCTTAGGATGGGGAATGGAAAGGAGTGGGGAATAATTAAGAGGATGAATAAGTGCATATTTTGCAATTAATGTTCAGTGTAATGTTTGTAATAGTGTCCAAAAATGTGATTTTTACAACACAACTGTCATTTTGCAGTAACTTCACTTCAGAATAAAAATGTATATTCTTAAATTTAAAAACAATTGTTAAGATTTAAAAAAAATTACTCCCTGTAAAAACTGTCCGCAGAAACTGAAACACAGTTTAATAATAAATTTCCATTGTTGTCAGACATTCTTTCTGGTTTATTCAGAAAGACTCAAATGGATATTACTCATACAAACTGATTTGTTAAAAACAAATGTGTGTTTCACTAAAGAGATAAACATCTCTTGCATTTTTTTTTTGCCAAACTTACTTATAGGAGGAAAAAAACCACTGAGACCATAATCAACTTTTCATGGGTTAGATATGCATAAAAGTCCTCTTCCTACTCCTTACTATTGACTCACACTTTACTGCATACCCAAGGGACTGCATATTCTAAAAACAAGGAATGAGTAATCAGGAAAAAGATGTTTCCCCTCTTCAAAGTATTCACTAAAGCATTCCTCTTTTTAAAGTATTCAACACGTAATGCTTGCCTGCCTTGTGATCCAACTTGTACTATAACATCTTCTATATCAATTTTACCGACAATGTTCACTTAACCTAAACATGGTGTAATATTCCTGCAGGCACACTTAAAACATAAACCACCCCCCAGAAGTTTTTCCAAGACTGACTAGAGAGTGGTTGTTCTAATTCTCATTTGGTTTAATAACAACATGACATGGAAGACTAGAGATATCTTTTTTGAGTATCAAGATGTACTATAAGGTACCAATGCATGTTCTTCAACAACTAGAGAAGGGTCATTTTTAAGACATCTTTGAAATTAATTCTTAGAAAAAATTATGAAAAGGAAGCCGTAGGACTCACTTGAGAAGTGACTCACTTGTTTTGACTGCCATTTTGTTTTGTTTTTTTGCTGTGGAAAGGAGCACAATGGCAGGCATGTGTCCTGCAAACTAGAATCTTAAGGGCAATGAATTAAATGTATCTACATCTGAGGAGCATTCTGCTCAGTGAGCATTCTAAAGGGCTGAGTTGCTATTGTAAACTACCAATCTCAGTTTACTTTAGCACAAAATAATGTGTTTGTTTTCTAACAAAGGAGTTCTACAACAACATCAAGGCAAAACCACTGGGTGCGATTATCAAGTAATCCATTTCTTGGGCATAAAGGCATTTCTACTGTGACAATTACTAATTATGCTCCAGTCATGGGTAGTTTATGATATTTCTTAATCCTTTCAACATGTTACTACTTAAATATCAGACCTCAAAAAATTCAAATATTGCTGGCAAATTGATAAGCCTAAAACAGAGCTCCAGTTACCCACTTGTACAAAACTATTAGCTTTCGGTAAACAATCTAGCTTTGTTCTTAGGAATTTAAAATTGATCATATCATCCAGTAGACCACATGAACCATAAATGGCTTTAAGCTCCAAAATATTATACTATATAGTTTTTATTGACCCATATGTCAATACTAAACTGGTTAGCTGGCAAGTTCATAATCACCAGATGTAATATTCACAATTCAGGATACTGGTAGGTTGAATAGTCAGTCAAGATATACATAAATATTTCCTATTGTCATGGTAAAAGAGAATACAAAATTGAAAAAAAATCAATTGTAAGTACTGAGCATTGGTAAATTTCTGTTACGTACAACAGTATGTAGTTATACTATATTTGGTACTTATTCTATTTGAATCCTTCATTGTAAATGAAAATTCAGAAGACAATGCAATGCCCAAAATAACCATATTTACTAGTAACAAAGTAGAATGACTATATAATATTTAATCACTGACTTCCACCTTCTATTCAAAGCTGTCTCTATTAACAAATCTTACATTCATATGTATTACAGAAGCATTCAAAAGGATGAGATCGTACAACCAAAATGATAAATACCAATCAAGTGAGGGCAAATAGAAAACAGGGCCAAAACATAGCCACACCTGACAGCATCCAGTGTCATCTGTCAGGGCACTGTGACAAGGATCATGCTATTTACAGGTCAATGGTGCCTTGTAGAGAGGTGAAAACATCAAATCTGAAACCAGGTAACACGGTGCTCGATGACAACAGGGTCTCTATGAAGTCAAGATGCAATGGTTCTACCAAAGCAGAATCTACTTGCTTTCTTCTGCATTGTCAAGAAAGCTGTTATGGAGAAGATGATCACTTTTCAGCTGTGGGGATAAGTCCCTCTGGTTGGGTAGATCTGGGGTTGTGAAATCTGAGGTGAATCATTTATGTTACTGTAATGACACCCAACTGCAAAAGAGTCTTTTGCCACCTCGAACATTTTAATCAAAATGTTTCTCCAAAATGTAGCCCATTTCCAGATGGTTTCCTTGCACACAAAAAATGCAGCTCCTATCCCATCCTATGGAAAGCAGAGGCTGCATGTGTGTTCAGGACATTCCTGGGGCATGGTGGCTAAACAGATCTAGGAGAAGAATCCTAGTCTGGGCATTCTGGAGTATGTCCCATCAGGATCCATTCAGCTGGACTCCCCAGTTGCTTTTTTCCTGGACAACCTTGCCCAAGGGCAAAGCTGATCCATCCTAGTCTGCTAGCACCTAATAAAATGGTATCAGGCTGACATTAAGCATGGACCTATAAGACTCCTTCATCCAGTGTACTCCCCTCATCCTCTGCACAGGCTCCAAACCCTAACGGGTTTCCCAAACATTTCAGATTAGAGGCAAAGCAGAGGTGGAACACAAGGTACCTAGCAAGTTTCCTCTTCTGAGAAATTTCTCTGAACGACACCTCACCTCTGTTGCAAATAAAGGTGGGTGTGAGGTGGGAAGAAGGGGGTAAATGCCTTTCAGGGCACGTTGGTGAGCCTTCCCATGCTCCAAGAAAGGAGCAAAGTGGAGCAAAGAAACTGTTCCATATTGCACTCTCCATAAAGACATTGTTTCATGAAGTTGACTACCTGTCTGTAACTACTGGAGGAGGGTCTTGAAGCCAGTCATGGGCAGCTCCATTGATGTCGGCCACTCCAACTGTGGGATGGCTAAAAGAAGCCATGAGAAACCATGGCTGGTGGTGGCCATTGATGGGGTGGGACTTGGAGGAAGTCAACAGCCAGTGGAGCAGAAGAAAAGGGGGCAGGGGGTTTGAAGGTGCCATTGCCTCCTCATCGTTCCCTACGGGTGGCCATTGGGGGTTGTCAGGAAGCACCTCCCACCTCCATGTCCTTGACAGCAGTCCTTGGGTGGATGGGCTTTGAAGTAAGCCCTGGCCACCTTGGGTTCCTTCACGGTGGCCACCCTGTCCCTGAGGGAGATGGCAGGCACCCCCTCCCGCAGGCTCCCAGAAATCCCTGACACTCAACTACCACCCTGTGAGCCCCACAGCCTGCCTTGCCCTTGGGCTGGAGGCCAGCCTGTCACCCGTCTCCCTCCCCTGCCCTGGCTGTGCCACCACAGGTCCGGGCTCCCCCCTTCTTGGCCGTGGAAAGAGTTTGAAGCGCACCCGGCTGTCCGGGGAGGCGGCACGTCGGAGGGCCCGGGGACTTTCCCTGCGGCGTGTGGCGGGGACAGCCCTCGCCCTCCCCTAGGCTGGAGCGGGGACGGGGCGGGCTGAGGCCAGCGCGAGAGAGAAGCCGCAGCGCCCTGCTCCACAGCGGGTTACGCCAGCCAGCCCCGCCGCCCGCCCGCCTGCCTGCCTGCCTCCCTCTCTCGCCGTCTCTCCTCGCCTCTGATTCTGCGCACAGCCGGCCCCAGCGCCTGTCATTCTGCACAGCACAGTTTACTCCACGGCGAGCGGGGGAGACAGAGGGAGAGGTGGCGAGGAGGCAGCCGAGACGCCAAGTCCCGCAGCCCAGCATGGCTTCGGGGGACCTTTACGAGGTACGAGGCGGGGGGCGGGGGGGGGGGGCAGCTGCACGCCGCAGCCGGGCGGGCAGGGAGGGGAGGCGGCAGCGGCGGCAACAGCGGCGGCGGGGGGTTTGTTTCGGAAACGCTTAGCGGAGCCTGGTTAGTTCCTGAAGAAGGGAGGAAATCGCCCAGGCGGGGGTGGGGGGGAGCCGGGCTGGCGTGTGCGCTGGGGCCGGAGGGGTGGGGGGGTGGGCACCGGGATGGAGCGCTCCCCTCCCTTCCCCTGCCTCGCTCCCTCTGCCTCCCTCGCTCCCTACTTTCCGTGGGGCTGGAGCGCAGCAGGCCTCGCAGGAGGGAGAAGGAGGAAGGAGTGAGCGCGGAGCCGGAGTTAGCGGTAGGATGGGAGGTGTCCGCCGCCCGGAGAGTGGAGAAAGTCCAGGTAAAGTCGGCGGCGGCGCTGGACGTGCTGAATCTGCAGATTAGCGCGGAGGAGCGGGGGGGAAATGCGCCGCGGCGCTGCCGGGGAGGAAGGCGCAGGGATGGAGGCGGCTCCGCGCCTGGCCGTGCAAAGTGCAGGAGCAGGCGCCCGGTTGCTTCACCTTGCGCCTGGGGGCGGCTGGAGGTGGAGGCTGCGGGGGGGATCAGGGGCTTTGCGGGGCGGGGATCGGGGCAGCAGGGGGTGACTGTCAAAGTTTGGCAGGTCCCTGGTGGCTGGTTGGACCAGAGCGGCCAAGGGAGCAAGGGAAAAGCTGGAGCTCGGTGCATCCCGCCCGTCTTTGGTTCCAGGCTCCCAATTTGTACCATGCACAAGTCGGGCTGCTCCTACTGCGCCAATAAATAAATAAATAAAATGAAGAGGAAGAAGAGGAAGCTGGACCTCCGACTAAATAACCAAATCTGGCCGTAGGGTCTTGCTGGATCCAGCCAAATTTTGACCCTGCCCACCCAATTTTAAAGGTTCAAAGCAAGAACAAGTCTAGTCCCTCCTGCTGGTCCACAAGAGAATTTGGACCCAGGCACTGCAAATAACCGGGTCCAGTGAGTGGATCCAGCTGAATCTTGGCAAAATGTGGTCCAAGCCCCAAATTCTATCAGATATTTTTTTTAAAAAGATCATATCTGGTCCTATATCTGCTACTGGGTCAGGATGCATCAAGGTCCACCTTTTGTCAGGGAAATTGGAATGGCTAGACTTCTTTGTTTAAACTGTACAATTTGAGACTTGCAACCAAAAATTGTCACGTTCCAGTTCCATCCAAGTGTCAAGGTTTTTACAGTGCTCATGTACCAGGATGCACCTGGGTCTGGTGCAGTAAGAGTAGCTAGGCGTGTTCTCTATTTTGATCATAGAATTTGGGGGCTTGTATCCAAAACTCACAGGATCTTTGATCAACTTTTCCCTTTTACCATGGCCATTGCCTTTGAAATCCCCTAACAAAGGGTGTAATTAATGTCTGATATTGATCAGTTGCGTCTTTCTTGTGCTGAATTGGACTTTAAGTTTCCTTAAAGTAAGTAGAACTTGGACTCTCATAGGTGAGCTTAAATGCTCAGAGACATGTGCTGATCTAAATTAATATTGTCAACTTGTTTTCCGTGGTTCTTCATAGATTTTGTAGTGTCAGTTTGTAATTAGTTATTAATGGCATTGTGTCAAGTTTATCTGTGCTCTAACTCCATTGTAATTGATAGGAGATCTGTCAAGGATGACTTTGGTCCATAACTTTCAATGAAGTAAAGGTTTGGTTAGGCCCTTCATTTACTGCCTATTTGTAACTTCTGTGGAGCATGGAGAAGTTTTAGATAATCTTGCACCCTAGAGATATTTCATTACATGTTTAGATTGGTTCTGGAAGGAAACAAACACATACCACTAACATTGACACTGGCTGTGTTATTACAGCTCCTATTCATTAATTAAAATCTATGCTCTTTTATGAGCCCTGTGTTACTCTAAATGAGCAGATGGCCTGCAGGAATGGGAGGTGGGCTCTGCATTTAATATCGTGTATTGTGTGGAAATTTTGTAAGTAACAACATGCCATGAAAATGCTCTGTGAAATCCAGACTTGTAACCTAGGAAGCACATTGAAGCATAGATCATTTTAAAGGCACTAGTCTAGGCTGTGAAGCCGTCTTCGACTGTACCATGAATTGCACTTAGGCAATGCTAAATGCTCTAGTTTGCAGCCTGTGGATTATTCTTTATCATTCCTTTTGGTCTGTTTTTGCCTATCAGTATATAATAAACATGAGTTGTATCCATCAGGACAGGTAAGTGAAAGAATGGATCTCCACCTCTACTTTGTTGATATGTCTAGAACATGACCTTCTGAGATGGTACATGGTGTTAGATCATTGCATTTCTGTCAAGCTGCTGGGAAAAGTATGTACGGTACTTAAGTTAGCAATTCAGTCTATGCCATGTAAAAACCTTTCCACTGTGAAGGTACTTGTGACTGGGGTGAGAGAGAACCACAGGAAAGCTGAATAGTTTATATTCTGATATGCTGCAAGTTGGCAGTTGTTAGGCTCTGGTTAAATGACTGCTGAACCTCCCCACACATGCACACAAAAAACTCCCACATCTAAAGATCTTTTTGGGTTTTCTAGAGTTGTTAGAAAGAGGCTTATAACTGTTGTGTAGGTAGTGATGTCAAATATCAGTTAGATAGCATGAGAGATGATGATGTCATCTCTCATGCTATCTAACTGAGAGTGATGTCAAATATCAGTTAGATAGCATGAGAGATGATTATCACCATGAACATGTGGTGTGTTTGGAGTTCATACCTTAATTTTTGGTTGTATGTGGCATTATTTTTTTGCTTTTTTGGACAGGTAAAATGTTCTGATGTCAAGATGCATATTAAATAGCTTATGATAGTCACCTTTAACAGGTTGCACTTCTGAATGATGTAGCACCCTGCATAACATTTTTAATTGGAGATACACCTTATGAATCTACTAAGTATGTGTAGAACTGCCTTAAGAATATCTTCAGTCCTTCAAAGATTTTTACTGAAGTTCAATGAATCAGGCAAGAGCAGTTACCTCTGTAATAGTAAGCAATTCGTATTGGATAAAAAATGATTTTACTACAGCTGATTACGGTTACAGTAGTCATGACTAAAAAGAGAATATTGCATTATTACCCATCTAACCCATTTTAAAAATTTTCCTTGCTTGTGTAACATATGACATACATAATTCAGTTCAAACCCTTAAATTTTGAAAACAAGATATGATATATATATCATATATATAACAATTCATCCATTTTGTGTTGTTAAATTATTTTTAAAACGGATTTTTTCAATGCAATGTTGACTTGAAGAAGTTGTGTCGAGGTTAACGGATATGTAAGATTACAGCCAAAACAACTACAATATTTTATGTTATCCTGCTATACTTTTCAATATCAAATAGCTTCTAGTCATCTCTGCTTGAAATATATTCTAATTCTATAGGATTATAAATTAATTTTAATATATGCTACAAAATGAAGAGCATCCCTAGAGATTTCTATGCTTACTGATAATAGGGTTCTAGGTTTGTGTATCTTAGAACCAAGATTGTTACATTTGAGGATAATATCTTGCAGCAAATATTATTAGACAGTAGGTGCTAATTTTGAAGACAACAGAAACAAATATTCCTTTTTGTGCAGAAATGCAGTTAACATTTTCCCTTTAAGAAATTTTAGATTAAATTGAAGCGTGGAGAGGCACTCAGACATTACAATGATGAGCACTGCGTAAGAGCCGGAATAGAATAGAATATAATCTCAAGCACAGCTATGCATTCACAGGTTGAACAAAAGGCCAGGGTTGGTTTGCTTGTTTTGACGGAATTATGACTCTGAGCTTCTTCAGGTGGGTGAGAAGGTTCTTTATTATGTCTATATATTCTCAGGAGATGAAATCTTTTTAAATATTTAAGAAATATATAGCACAGTATTTAGAACAATAACAATTTAAATAAAAGCTTTGGCAACATATCCACAGTGACCTTCAGTAGCATAGCACTGTTGAGCTTTCCAGTTTAGATAACTTGTTGAATGTATTGATATAATGTCTTTATTAATCTCAGTAACAGAGAATAGGTAAAATAATCAAGAGTAAATTTCAATATTTCTCATTGGTGCTATGAATTTTGCTGTTGTTGCCTTGGTATATCCTTTTGTATTCTCCACCTTGAGTTCAGTTCCAACACTTAAGACCCTCTCTTAACAGAATTCGGTCTCTTAAAAAGGCTATTACACTGGTATTAAATATGAGATGAAAGTATAGGAAACAAAACTTTTACTTCAAACCACCGCACACAAGTTTTTTCTAGCAAAGAGAAAGCAATTCAGTACAATAAAACATAAGCTCTGGTTTATGATTATGAATATCTGATATCATGTATCAATAACATGCAGCAGCTTTTGAAGCTCATTTGGGCATTTTTGTTTTGAAGTGTAGTTTTTGTTTTGAGCGGAAATTTTCTGTATTTTCTCATTATTTATAATAAACCAACATAATCAGAGTTTTTGGAACAATGAGATTAAAATGTAAACATTTTCTCATAGTTCTTTAAAACTACTGGAAATCCCAATTATGGTATCTTATTAAACAATATCTTAATTCAGCAATCTAAGGAACTAGCAGATAAGTCTCTCGAGAGGAATGTGGCAGGTAGATATCTCTGGACCACAGTAATTTCATCATTATTTAAAACTATTAGTGGCTCATGGACATTTTTCATTAAAGCGCTGTTTTACTTGGAAAAGTGACTTTTTAAAAATGGAACTGTCTTAATTAAGAGATACAATGCCTACGTGTATTCATGTCTACTTACATCAGTGACAAAAATAAGATTTAACTACATTTTACTCCTGTTAATATGGCTATATGAAAGTGAGCTGCAGTCTATTCCCGCTCACACTCATCAACAGGATTGTTAATTAAGCTCCAACTGAGTTGCAGTGTCAAATTCTTCTCCTCAATTATACCTGTGCTCACTGCACAGCTATCAGTGAGGGCAGAATC